GTCATCTGCCCCACCCCCCTAATCATTTTTGTTGCTCTTCGCTGGACTGACTTAGAAAAGACATGACTAAGGGGGGATATGATAGAGATTTAGAAAATCATGACTGGGGTGGAGAAAGTGACTAAGGAAATGTTGTTTACCCCTTCACATAACACAAGAACCAGGGGGTCACCAATGAAATTAACAGGCAGCAGGTTTAAAATCAACCTAAGGAAGTATTTCTTCACACAATGCAGTCAACCTGGGGAACTCCTTGCCAGAGGATGTTGTGAAGGCCAAGAGTATAACAGGGCTGAGAAAAGAACTAGATAGGTTCATGGAGGATAGGTCCATCAATGGCTATTAGCCAAGATGGTCAGGGGACAGCCCCATGCTCTGGTGTCCCTACACCTCTGACTGCCAGAAGTGGGGACTGGACCGTAGGGGATGGATCACTAGATAAATTGTCCTGTTCTGGTCTCTCTGTCTGAATCACGTGGCACCAACCACTATCAGAAGACAGGATATTGGGCTAGATAGGCCATTGGTCTGACCCAGTCTGGCCATTCTTATGTTCCTATGGAATGGCTCTTGGTTGTCTTCTCCTGGGCTGGCTAATGGAGCTGGTAACTTGGAACTGGTTTTGTGTAAACACCTGGCTTGGGAGGTGGCCCCCTCCTCCCCCAGCCTGTTTTGCTTCCCCGCCCTCACATGAGGTGATGCTAAAGTTGCATCATGGTTACAATTGACACTTCTCTCTGTAGACGCATACACACATTCATAATCACAGCCTGGATGTGTAGCTCACAAGGGCCAGTCAGTTCAGAACATCACACGCTTGCATAAAAGACCTTACTCAGGACATTTTTATGGTAAAATAACACTGTATACAAACAGTTGATTGAACTTCTTATTTGGGAGGGGGGCGGTGTTCAAACATTCTGTTCTCCCCGGGGAGGAGCATCTGGACCCTGATTCTTACATCCCGTCCATCATTCATGCATGTCTGTCCTCAGGTTTGCACTGTGCACATCTGTCCGCATCTGGCCTTCATAAGGTCTGTCATCTGCACATCTGTCCCTCAAGAGGTTCGCCACATGCAATATCTGTCCACATGTACCGTGAAGCTAGCTTGCCCCATCCACATCTATATTTCATGAGGTTTGCCATGGGCATATCTGTCCACATCTGTCCTGGGCCTGGTTTGCCACATGTCCTCCATGAGGTTAGCCGCATCTACATCTGTCTATTTTCAGGTTGGCCACATGAACATCTGTCCTTCATAAGGTTGGCACCCTGCACATCTGGCCACATCTGCCCCAGGGCAGGTTTGCCCCATGCACAGCTGTCCACATCTGCCCTGCCAGCATCTGACACTGCCCCTGCACCACTGCTCCCTTCTCAGTACCCTCCCCCCCATCAGTGAAGATGTAATGATGCTGGCTTTGGTGGGACCCAACTGAGAGTGCCAATTCAGGACAAATTGCTTAGAACAGGGCAGTTACAGCCTAAGGCTGGGGTTCCTTTGCACACCAAGGAAAACCAAACCAGCCAAACAGAGAAGATTTCAGCTTTACCCCACTGGCTAACCATAAGTCACACAAGCAATTCCCTTAGACACTCCAGTTTCCCAGGATCACCACCAGTGACAGTCGTTATGAAGCAGGAACGAAGACAAGATGGAGATGAGGCAGCTGCCTTTTATAGTCTCCTCCAGGTGTAAGGACACCTCTTTGTTCTTACGGTGGAAAATTACAGCAAAATGGAGTTTGGAGTCACATGGGCAAGTCACATGTCCATGCATGACTCAGTTTGCAGGCGGCAGACATTGCCCACATGCTATCTTGTTAGAGAATGCACGCGTCCTCCCTGATTCCCTCGGGGCACTGCAGGGGGACTC